ATGTATGTATATCTCAGCAAGTAATACTCCATCATCTTTGACTTAATTAATGGGCATGAAACACCCAAGCATCATGCACATTCAGCAACTGTCTTCATGAACTGACAGTCAAGTAAGCAAGTAGAATGAAAAAGATCTAAACCCTCAAACTATCAAGTTACTACAGGCTTCAAAATGCCATTTATAGGGTGAGGGTTGGTGACAGAAGGGAATAGTTAGTGGTTGGATTGCTCAGAAATACCAGAGAGAGAGAGAGAAAGAAAATGTTCAGCTAGAGTGTGCAAGACAGACACTTACTGATATTCAAATGCAGTTTAAAAATGGGGGCCATTGTCTATAAAAAACAGAACTGTAGGAGAAAGAGGGTCGGTCACCCAGTTAACTCAAGGTTATACATCTACATCTACACGTGCAAAAGGAAATTCATGACCAGCCCCATTTTGAGACAAAGCAAAAGCAATGGAAATAAATGATAGCCTTCAAATAAATGTGGCCTTCAACTTACTTTTATACTGCCCTCCCATCAGTGAACATTTAACACATAGCCCTACATATTTCTGTATTAATGCACTGGGCATATGATAAAAATAGCCACAGACATACTTGTAAAAAGATGACTATATCTGTTCTTACGTTTTCTTCCCAAATCCCACTTTGGAAACCTATCTAGGGGTCTCAGAAGCAGAACATCAGCACCCAGAAGGGACTTCCTACAAGGTGGCACTTGGCACCATATAAGTAGAACCACAGCGTCTACGTATTCAGTAAGATGTTAGGGAAATTACAGTAAAAACATCCTTTTACCCACAAATGTAATCAGCAACTCTATCAGGACTTACAGGACTTCAATTCCATTAATCACCTGCCCCTGTCTATCTAATTCTGCCCTAGTGTTCTTGTTCAAATTGTCTTCACCTTTGGGCCCTAAATAGAAGTGCCAGTCCTGTCTATAGTTAAATTATATCTGCCCCAAAACAGTGCCCAGTGGGAAGCAATTTGAGTTTAAGTGCAGCTCCACTCCGGGGGAAAAGGTTGAGAGCACCAAAGTTTATATACAAAAGGAGGGAAATTGAGCACGGCTGGGGGGTCTGGGCTTTCCTTGCTAAAGTGATCCCTGTAATAACAGTTCATGGTGTCCCAAAGGAAGATATGGTACTTCCCAAACTGCTCTGCAGACCGGTTGCTTCAAAAAGTATTCCAGGGATTCGGACTTCTGGGTCCCAGAGATTGAGCAGTTGACTTTACCTCTCTGATCTTGCCTTTATCTCCGAGTTAACCCATCATCTTTAAGACAGAACTGCTAATACTAGCCTCACAGAGGTGATGTGAAGATTGAAGGGAATAAATGAAGCATTTAATTTGCATTTGCTGCTTAATAGATATTACTTCCTTTCCTCCTTCCCCTCCACCCCTTACTCAATGATATTGTCGGGATACCAGTGGCTTCATCTTCAGCCCTTCTTCCTGAGATCCTTCTCACTCCCTCTTTGCCTGTCATTCCATTCGTGGGCCTGCCCTCATGAGTAGGAGCCAAAGTTGTGGTTACTTTAAAATGCATCTTCTCCATTCAGAACATGCTTCCTGTGTTCTATTTTCTTAGGTGGCCTGTTCTGGAGAGTTGATCATCTCACAGATTAATCTATCACGATGTGTTAATGGAGAGGAGTGATGTGTTAAAGGACAGGACTAATGTGTTAAAACAATCCTTGGAAGGTTGTAAATTAGGAATTTCATTTACGATGCCTCAATCCAAAGACAACAGAATCAGTCATGAGAAATGTAGGCCCAGGAGAGAGATGGGAGCTATAAAGTGGTATTGAATGCATGTCACCTGTTGCTAAATTCTGTTTGCTGGGCCTCCATCTGGACCTGGTTCAGGGACGTTACCACCGTCCCAGGGTGACAGCAGGACAACAACCTGGTTCTGACTCCCAAAACAGCCCAAGCAATCTTCTCAGCAGTGTGGTCCTCCTGGACAATGGGCCTCAGATATGGGTTCATGGAGATATTACTACAAACTTCTTTTGCTCAAGTCAACTCATGCAATTCACTGTTATGAAATCCCCTGGAATCTATGTCAGTGGTTGTATGTCTTCCTATGTTCATCATATGACATCATGACAAACATGTTGGAAATTAATTACAACCTGAGATTAAGGAAATCTTAAAGATTGAATTAGTGCTTGAAAGGTGAGATAGGTCAAAAGAGTGAATTGTAATGTGGCAGAGAGTCCAGCCAGTGTCACCTAGGGAAGGTTCCACGAATTCAGTTTTAGAAGATCATGCTCACTGAAGCAGGTGGGGGATATGTGTGTGGGACAGACTGAGGTATTCAACCAAAAGTGCACACAAAACCACGCCTTCCAAACAGAAGCACCCACCTGCAGCAACGGCTGTCTTCTTTTCATTCTTGTGCTTGACACTTGCTGTGGGTGTTTAGAGCCAAAAAGGAAACTGAGAGGGAGGGGGAGGCAAAAGAAGAAAGGTGGGAAAAAAGAAAAAAAAAAACGGAAGCAGTGTGAAACTGCCCTGTTGTGATTTTATTCTCACCAGCACGGGTGGCCTCTATTTCACTAGGGCCCTTTCCACACCATCTTGTGAGTTTGGGACTTATTCTCCTTCTAACCCTCCTTCTTCACAATGTTGGTTGGCAGGTGGGTTGGTCTTTTGTTCACCTTCATTACATTGTTAACTTAGTGAATGCATTAATTTTCTGTTTTGGTGTTGTCTGAATACATCTCTTTTTGAGTCCCCTCAATCATGTTCTTTGATCGTTTCCTTCCCACATAGCTACTGGACGTTGGAGGGTACAGATCATTCCCGGTGTTTCTTAGGGTCAAGGGCTCCACCTTCTAGTAGATGCCAGGAGCAGTGTGTGCTATAACTAACTGCTTCTGGGGCACAGCGACCCAAAGCTCCAAGGCAGGATGTGCTCCCACTGTGACTAAGCTTTTCCCATGAACAGTGTTCCTGCCTACTGAGCATGTGCAGCAGAGGCGGAAGAACAAATCCAACCTCAGCTCCACCCCCATGTTAAAATCGGGCCATAAATAACTAGCAGGATGTGCAACTTGGTCCTGTTGTTCACCCGAGTTAGGATGAGAAGGAGGAAGTAAATAAAAAAAGCATGTCTTATGGGAGTGGGGAAGGCATTATAAATGAGAAGAGTGTGTGTCCTTGCTATCCCCATCACAGCTTCCTCGGAGTTGGCCACAAATACTCACACTCTCAGGTCGCTACAACTCCTTGCATATTCTGTATTCCTTGGCCACATGTGAGAGATGATCTGGACCTAAAAGAGTGTCTAGACAGATGGAGCTGGAAGTAGACCTGCAGATGGGGCTGAAAGATCCTGGCTCAGGGTCGGCGCTGCAATCAGACTCATCCTCTCTCTCCTCTGTAAACTGAAGACACTTGTTTTGCCTTTTTCTCATTCATAATATTTTCCCTGCCAGGTGCCTCCCTTGCTTTGGATTCTAAAAATGCCCAAGTCTTGCTAAAGTGTAGTATCTAACTAAAGAGAAAGGATACTCCCTGTCCAAGTCAGGGTTGCAAGGGGCTTGGGCCAGCCCTTGATGGTGGAAGTGGAATTCATGGAGAACCTGGGAGTCCCTTCTGGGGCAGAGCCAACCAGAGGCCAGTCAGCAGAGAATCCCCACATTCAGAGCTTTGTGGGGACCATCTATGAACAGCTCTAGTCCTTCAAAACTGCACTGAAGGCCCTCAGAAAGTTAAAAGAATGACACGTCAAGATGACAAGGAATTCAGACAAAAATCATCTGTTGGTGTGCTGTTATCTTCCTACAGCAAACCACTGAACTTAACCTCATGTCAAAATACTCTGTGGTTTCTGAGTTGCATTATTTTCAGTTTCCCTTCCTCTTGCTCCATTTCAGAAGATGTTTAAGTTGTCTTCAAGTGATTTTTATGTATTTCTGTGTTTTAATAGAAAAAATTTTATAATGGCCAAAAGCTGATTTTTTAATGCCATTGTCTTTGTTCTCACTGAAGAAGAACAGAAACTGTGAAACACATGAAGCTTACAGAAGTTGTGAAATAGTTGACTCCAGCAATTTAATTACCTCTCTATCCCAGAGATTAATTTGGGAATTTGTGACCCTTATTGAATCAATAAGCCTTTGGTGTTGCCACATACGAGGAAAATACAATGCCTCCAAGCTAATGCTTGAACACATGCACACTGTGTTCCAAATGGCACAAACACCTTTGTAGATCACTTCTTCCATGAAATAAAGCAAATTGGTCATGTTTCAATCTTGAACTCATGAATTTATACCCAGTTGAAAGTACATACATCTTAAGAATGTCTTGGTTCTTTCTGTCGTTTTTGAATCTGATAGCTGAAGTTCAAAACTGAAGCTTTCTCAATGCGAAGGTCTATAAACTTTGGTTTCTTCTCCCATCCCGCAGCAAAACACGAAAGAAATCCATATAATTGACATTCAAATAATTGTCATCTGTGATAAAACTATAAATAAATACATGCTCTTGGAGTCCTCCTTTAGGGTTTGCCATAAAAACCATCCAACGTTGCTGTATCAAGCTTGCAGATATTTTACAAGTATACGTTAGTTAACAAAACAGTTTGAAAGATACTGGATGAGGACATTTTACTTTGTGTACAGTACTGTGCAGTGCAGATAAAAACATTTAAGCAGATAAACTGTGAAAGGTAGAGAATATCACTTTGTATAAAGGTGGATCATTTAAGTATTTTCCATTTGTAGGTGGACCATATCCATTTATGGTAAGGCTGTTTCTTTCTCACTGTTTCCCTATGGAACCCAGGAGCCAGGCCCAAGGGAAAGATCAGGAAGCAGTGAAGCAGCAGCCACCTGTCTGGTGCCAACACTCACCCTGCACAGAAGGGGGCCCTGATGACACGGAAGCAATGGATTAAGAAGTTGACTGGG